ACACACACACACACACACACACACACACACACACACACACTCCTGTCATCATCCTTCATTGTTCTGAGTGAGGTCTGCTCTCTCCCTACCACAGCTCCTAGCTCTCACCGTCCTTCAGTTCTTCAGCACAGCTTCCCGAGGGATCCTGTCTGGTCCCGCCCCAGCCTGAGCCTGCGCACTGCGCAGAGCCCCTCCCCCCACAGACAACCAGCGCAAAGCTCCAGAGCCTCAGATCCTAGCATCTCTCAGGCTGGCTGCTTGCTGGGCATCCTAAACCTTGAGCAGTGAAGGGCGGAGCTGGAGCCTGAGCTGTAAGGTCACGTGGTACCCTGGAGAATGAAGCAGGTAGGCCTGCGGGATGCTGCCTTGTGAGGATGATGATGGCAAAGAGCCCGTAGGAGGAAGATAAATGCACTGGCCTTGGAGTCTAAGGCTGAACTGGGCCCCAGTGTAAAGAGGGCCCGGAAAGCCTAGAGTGGTAAAGGAATAATGCTAGGAGAAGGGCAGAGACCTGTCCGGGAAGAAAGGGCATTCAGGAGTGGAGGATGGGTGTGCATGGGTGGGGCCTGCCATCTGTTCTTGGTGTCCCCCAGGCCCTCGTGGACGATACTGAAGATGTGTCCCTGGACTTCGGCAATGAAGAGGAGCTGGCCTTTAGGAAGGCCAAGATCAGGTATGTTGAGACCAGGCCTTGGGCCAGTAGTCCCAAGATGCAAATTCGTTCATTCACCAATTCATTCATTCAAAATATGCAAAGCAACTACTGTGTGCATTTACACAGACCCTGTCCCCTTGGAGCTTACAGTTGGGTCCGGAGATTGCTTACTTATGAGGCGATAATATTAACGGGGTTAGGAAAAAACTAGCATGGTAAGACAAGAGAGGGTTCCAAGAGATGCTCTCACGACTTAGCACAACCAGGAGGTGTTTCTTTGAGGAAGTGACTTTTTAGCTGAGAATGAATGATGAGAAGCAGGCAGCCATAGGAGACTCTGGAGGAAGAGAATGTTTATGGGTCCTGCAGCCTTATTGGATGGTCAGAGAAGAGCACTGTGGCTTTACGGCAGTGTAGGAGAGGAGTCAGTGGGTAGCTGGGTAGATAAGAAAGTGCTTAGCTCTCCAGCCAGCCAGACTTATCTTCCATCAGGTCACAGATCTGCTTGGCTCCTTCATCAGCCAGAAGGCAGCAGGACTAAAGTGGAGAAGTGACTTGGATGTATGCTGGCCAGTGGCCCAAGCACCCGATCCTCTAGAAACGTTCCCAGCTCAGCCACGCCCACTTGCCCGTTTTGCACATCTCTTCTTCCACCTATTGTACTTGGTGCCCAGTCCCTGGTGCCATTCCTTTATTTTTATCTGGTGCTGGGGATGGAACTGAGTACCTTGTGCATGCTAGGCAAGAGTACTACCATTCTGTTGCATCCTCAGCTGTTCCTTTTGTCTCCCCCTCCCATCAGATCTTCTGATTCTGATACAATGGTCCCTAGAATGGAATATGATGCATTCACTCCCTGTGGTCATTGTAAAAGATTATCATAAACATGCTGGATTCATGTAACTCGATTGGTGGAGTTCTTGCCTAACGGCACAGAGCTCTGGGTTCCATCCTAAAAATAGCATAAAGGAGGCATGGTGGTAAGAAAAAGCACACACACACACACACACACACACACACACACACACACACACAGACACAGTCCTTGTACTTTTCACTAATAAAGGCATTTGTGGCAAGTCTCAAGCCTGCTCAGCAATCTAGGGTAATTTACACTTCCTAGTATCCTTTACTATGTGAGGTCTGGGGATATAGCTCAGAGGGGAGAGTGATTGTCCAGCGTGCAGGAAGCCCTGGGCTCCATTCCGTACCTAGCACTAAATAAACTGGGCATAGTGGCACACACCTGTAATCCCAGTGCAAGGGAAGTGGAGACAGGAGGATCAGAATTTCTTGATCATCCTCAGCTACGTAGTGAGTTTAGGACCAACTTGGACTACATGAGCCTCTCTGTTTTTGTCTGTCTCTACCTCTGTCTGTCTCTCTTAGATCCTTTAGTAAATGAAGATGCCAAGCCCCTTTTTCCATAAAATGTAACATCCACAAGAACCAGAGACTGGGACCTAGATACTGGAGGCACATTATTCATACTGTAGTAACTGGAATCCTAGCCTAGGTGAAGGAGTTTATAGACCATCTGGGAAATTATGTGTTCAGTGTCTGGTGAATATCACCTATGTGCCTGACCCTGGGCAGGTGGCCGGGGCTATGCAGTCAGTGTACAGGACCCAGCTCCTGCCTATGGAGTTGCCCAGGCTAGTGCATAAGGACCCCTCCGTTATGTAAAGGTCAGGTCCTGCTTTGTTGTGGGGCTGCCCTATGCAACCCTTTCTCACTTGCTTTCAGCTAGCTTTCTCCTCCCTAATGCTGCTCAGGACTCCCTGTCTAGGGCCATCCTATATTAATTAACAATCAAGACAATCCCTACAAACATGCCCACAGGCCAACCTGAGCTGGATAATTCCCCTCTAAGACTCTTCTCAAGTTCACAGTTAAAATCAACCAGTCCAGATGTATTCACCAGATATAAGGTGGTAGTTACTAGCTACCTGTGGATATTGAGCATTGGAACTGTGGGTAGAGATAGAGAATTTGGTTCTGTTTAATTGTAATGTAAATCTGTACTAGATGAATCAAATCTAGAGCTGTTTTCCCTGGAAAGATTTTGTTGGGGGCAGTGCTGGGGTCAGGACTGCAGGATGAAGATGGTGTCTAAGTCTCTTTCCTGTTGCTGTGATAAAATGCCCTGACAACTTAAAAAAGAAGCATTGTAAGGAAAGAACTGGCTCATGGTTCAAGAGCCAAATACAGCATGGTGGGACTGTGGCAGGAGTTTGGTGCAGCCAATCAGAGTGCATCTCTAGTCAGGAAGTAGTGGGATGCTGTGCTCAGCTTTGTTTCCCCCTTTTATATGGTCCAGGATCCAAGCCCAGGGAATGGTGCTGCCCACAGTGGGTGGGTCTTCTCCTTCCATCGGTTTACTAAAGGTAACCCCCATTGGGCATGCCAGGAGCCTGGGTCCCAGATAATCCTAGGTCTCCTCAAGTTGGCAGTTGAGGTTACTCATCGCAGACTGGTTTAGGAGAAGAAAGCAGAGGCTAGGAGAGTGGCCCAGGATATCTGGCAGATAAAGTCTACCTTTGCTGTATGGTAGTTAAGGTGTGGGTGATGTAGAGGGACCTGGATAAAGCTCACCAAAGGTCTGGAGGCAGCTACTCATCAATCTGAGAGCTGCCAATCCTAGAATCCTCTGGTGTGCCAATGCTGATTTATCAGCCTGCATAGGGACTTATGGGATTCCCAAGGGATGCGTGCCTACGCATCCTGATAATGCGTGCACTCAGCTGTGTGAAGAATTAGGTTCTTCATTTTGTTTTGGTTTTAGTGTGGTTTGATTCGAGATCTTCCCGCCTCCACCTCCCTAGTGCTGTGATTATAGATGTCACTACCATACCTGGTGCAAAGCGGATTCTATTTACTTGCTTGCTTACTTCTTTTTTTGGACAGGGTCTTATGTAGCCCAGGCTGGTATCGCTATGAGCTGGAACCTCTGATGCTTCTGCCTCTTCCTCTCAAGTGCTGAGATTACAGGTGTGTGCCACCACACTTGGTTTATGTGGTTCTAGAATGTCTTAGTTGTGGTTTCGACTGCTGTGATAAAACACCATGACCAAAAGTAACTTGGATAGAAAAGAGTTTATTTGACTTAAAACCCCCAGGTTTTTTGAGGCAGGGTCCCCATATGTAGTTCAGGCTGACCTGAGTGCTGATATCACAGGGCTGTGCTACCACACCCAGTCTGCTTAGTTTATTTTATTGAGGTTTTTAAAAAAGACAACAATGTATCTGATCTCTGTCTTGCCCTTTGTGCAAGGCAGTGGTGCTGGGTAAGTTCGAATCTCTACAAATCAGAACTTTTTAATCCTGCAAAAGTGAAGTTCTGTGTTCATTAAACCACTCTTCATTCCCATTAACCACCTGCTAACCACCATTCTACTTCTGTCTTCGTGAATCTGAGTAGTCATTTTGTGAAGACAGAATCACAGCATTTGCCCTTTACAGCTGCTGCTTTTACTGACTATAATGTTCTCCCTGAATTGTCTCCTCTTCTAAGGATGAATAGTAGCCCATTTTGTGAGTCTGCCACACCTACTTACGGACAGTTGGGTGGCTTCTACCTCTCGACCCTTGTGACTCATACTGCCCTGAAAATGGGTTTACACACCCCACCTTTGAGACTGTGCCTCCAATTCTTTTATATATAGTCCCAGAAGCCGGGCTGTGGTCTGGATAGAAGTTCTCTTTTTATGTTTTGAGGAACTTGTAAACCATTTCCCAGAGATACTACACCATTTTACAGTCGGTGGACTTTCCACACCCTTGCTAATGCAGCATTTTATGTAGGGCTTTTTGTTTTGGGTTGCTGTTGTTTTGGTTTTTGAGGCAGGGTGTTATGTAGCCCAGGCTGGCCTCAAGCTCCCTATGTAGCCAAGGAGGACATTGGGTTTCTGGTTTCCTTGCCTGGTGCTGGGACTCCAAGGCCATGCCTCTATATTCAGTCTATACCGTATTGGGACTGGGCCTAAGATTTCATGCTAGGCCAACATTCTCCCAATTGAGCTACATCCCCAGCTCAAGAGATGTTTTCTTCTTTTGAGACAGGATCACATTATGTAGACCACATGGGCCTTGAACTCATATATCAAGGACTTATATCATGTGTATATTCAATCAAAATACAACTAGCAAACCATCAACTCACTGACAGTCTGAAGCTCAGTGTGGCTTTGGGTATGTTCACAGTTATACAACTGTCACCATGACCTCATTCCATAATTATTTCACCATCCTAGATGGAAACCCTGGACCCATTAGACAATCACTTCCCATTTCTCCTTCCCACAAGCTCCCAGCTGCCGCCAATATACTTCATAATCTGCTTATTCTGGACACTTGATATAAATGGTATGTGTCTGGATTTCCCAGAAATACAGAAATAGTGTGTATGTGTGTGTATGTATGTATGTATGTATGTATGTATGTATGTATATATATGTATGTATATGTAGGTGTACATGTGTATTTGTGTATGTTCAGGGATGTCACAGGTGTCTGTGAGTGTGTATATGTGTGTTTGTGTAGTTGTGTTAGGTGTATGTGTGTTCATCTATATGGAATCGATCATTGTACATTACATATATTTGGATATATGTATGGAGATTTGTTATGAGAGCTTGGTTCACATGGTTTTGGAGCCTGAGAAATTCCAGAATCTATTAACAAATTGGAACGCCCATGAAGCTGGTGAGGGCCCCAGTCTTTGGAGAACTGGGGTCAGGGACATGAGGTCCAGTCTGAATCCTGGGGCTCCACTCTGCACATCTCAGTCTGTGTTGAAGGTCTGAGTTGATAGCTCTGATGTCTAAGGGTGTCAGCTCAGCCTGAGAGTGAACCCCTTTTCCTCTTCCCTGTTGCTCTGTGCTCAGGCCCTGATAGAGGTCTGAGCAGCACTTGCTGCTGCAGGGGCTCCTTTTCAAGGTCCCCTTTCTGGAAAATCCTCAGAGACATACCCACAAATAGTATCCTACCAGCCAGCTAGGCACCCCTGAGCCCAGGGA